TTACAACACTTTTAAATAACACAGAACACAACAGAAATGTTTCAAGGAGACCCTAAAACGTGAAGGACCCAGTTATTTAGGTTATAGTTATTTAGGCTAATAAAATACTTAAAACAAGGGAATCAGGATGTTAAAAGAAAAAATAAAAGAAACACACCTTTCAAACATCACCTACAACTTCACTAAGCAATTTTGCAGACGATAGTCACGGCACAGTGGCATCCGTCTCGTTTTTGGCCCCCCTTGAAACATTTCTGTTGTGTTCCATTGTTTTTGCAAGTGTTGCAAGAATTAATTTGTTTGCATTGTGTGAAAATGCAGCGCGTTTTTGAATGTGTATGCATTGTGAGGATCTAAAGCACGGTCTGCGGTTTCCCATACAAGTCCAAAGACATGCGGTACAGGTGAATTGGTATAAGCTAAAATTGTTGGTAGTGTATGTGTGTGAATGAGAGTGTATGGGTGTTTCCCAGTGATTGGTTGCAGCTGGAAGGGCATGCATTGCGTAAAACATGTACTAGATAAGTTGGCGGTTCATTCCGCTGTGGCGACCCCGGATTTATAAAGGGACTAAGCCAAAAAGAAAATGAATGAATGTTTGAATGTTCAACTTAATTTGTTTGTTTAAATTCAGCCCAAATAAATAGTTTGCAACTACTTTCCTTAAAAAATTGAGTAAATCCAATGAATCATTTTGTCAGTGTTCCCTGCTTTGGATCTGAGACAGAAAGTAGCGGTACCAGGCTTCCCTTAGACCTCTGAGGGATGATTAGTTAACCAAAACTTGGTTTTATGTGGCATGCCAAAAGAGAGCTCTCTCGTAAGGGTGGGTTTCCCGCTGCCGCCAGCCCTGGAAACAGCCTTTAATCATGACCTGCAGACATACATGCATATGGACTGTTAAAAGAAAACTGAAACCCCAGCCCCCCAGAACCCAAAAACAACTCGTTGATTATGAGTTTAATTCAACACAAAGTGGTCATTATTTGCATTTCACCTGCATCACATGTTCAATGCATGCCTGAAAAACTGCCACCAAAAGGTTAAAGAAGATAAAAGTCATGCGGAGTCCCATAAATTCCTTTTAATTGGTCTTCTCCTGGATATAATTGCAGAGCGACGGCATAAGGTGCAATTATTGTTTGTCATGTTTCGAGAGCGTGCTTTGTGTGAGGTCTTTCCAAATGTCAGAGTTTCAGGATGGAGGCTGCATGCATGTATTTTATTTGCATTCACACGGCAAATTTGATCCAACTATTTTAAATTCACTGTTTCTTCTGCATTTTCTAATACAGACTATTTGAAAACTAGAATGGAATATACTGCACAGCACATTTTTTTTAGAGTTTTTTTTGTGATATTGCACACAGTTACAGTATGCTACATTGCTTTGTTAAATTCAGCAAGAGAATTAAGAAATAAGACATTTAAAATATGTATTAACTGATATAGAAATAATGGAGACCACCTAAAAAGTCTCAATTTTTGCAGGGACCACCTGAAAAATCTCAGTTTATCTGCATTTATGATTTATAATTATGTTTAAGTTAAGCATTTTTTTATTTTATATAAAAACTGACTAAAATTTAATATGAACTTGTTGTCATTTAAAGCATTTTTTTGTATAATTTGTAAAATTTGTTTTATATATTAAGAAGAAAGAAAAGTGTGTGTGTGTGTGTGTGTGTGTGTGTGTGTGTATGTATATATATATATATATATATATATATATATATATATATATATATATATATATATATATATATATATATATATATATATATAATCATTCATTTTCTTTTTGGCTTAGTCCCTTTATTAATCTGGGGTTGCCACAGTGGAATGAACCGCCAACTTATCCAGCATATGTTTTACGCAGCGAATGCCCTGTTAGCTGCATATATATATTCACACACCTGAAATTTAATGTCAATTAGTAATGTCATTTTAAATCTTTAAACTTTGTCTATATCCTTCACTATTCTTTGATTTAAATAAATAAGTAAATACACACTACATATTTATATTAGTAGAAAACCTTTTGTTGGCTCAACTGATAAATCTTTGCTTTTTTTGTTGGATCAATTTATAAAACTGGAGTTTTATTTATTTTATAAAAGTACAGTTAACTAAAGTAAAGTTTTTTTTTTAAACTGAGTCCATTAAGTTCAGCCAAATAAATGATAAGTTTTAAAAACGTCACTTTAGTTTGCTGAACTTTTTAAAATAAGTAAGTAAAACTCTAACGTAACTTGCATGACAATTTCACTTCTAATGACAACTTCTAAATAAGTAAGTAAAACTCAAACAAAAATATTTTAATATATTTTATTTTTAAGGTTATGCTGAATGACAATGGAACATGATATAATTTTACCCAAAATCTTGTATTTTATTTTCAACATTAAAGTAGTTTATTAAGAAACAATTCTTATATTAATCATATTTAATTTAGCTATGTTTAAAATGTAATGCTATTGTACTGCACAGAACAATCAAATATGCTGCAAACATATCCATAAATGGTCTTGGTAAGGCAAAATTGCTGAAAATGTTTAATAATTCTTGTTTAATCTGTAAAATAAAGTCAACTTCAAAACAACATAATAGAACAGTGCTGTTTTTTTTTTAAACAATAGCCATGTTAATAAAAGCTTTTTAAGCTCTTCATTTACCTCTCAAGTACCTTGTACTTATGATTTCTTGTTTATCAAAAGAAACATTGATCGCTTTATTTTATTTTATTTTGCTTTATTTTTTATAAAAAAATATAATTTTATTTTATTTTATCAAATAATACATGACTCATAATTATTATTATTTTTTAACAAAAGCCATGTTGATAAAGGCCATTTCCACTCACTTTTTGAGTGCCTTGGACTTATCATTTCTGATTTCTTGTTTGTCAAAAGAAACATTGTTCATTTTTTATTTTATTTTATTTTATTTTATTTTATTTTATCAAAAGAAACATGATTTATAAAGTGCTGTTTTTTTTGTTTTGTTTTTTTTTAAACAAAAGCCATTTTAATGAAGGCTTATTAACATTTTTACTCACTTTTTGAGTGCCTTGGACTTATGATTTCTTGTTTATCAAAACAAACTTCAATTCAATTATTTATTTTATTTGATTTTATTATAAACAATCACTTTTCCTTTGGCTTAGTCTCTCCTTAATCAGTTTTTTTTTCTCTTTCACTTATATTTTGAGTGCCTTGGACTAATTCTATTCAATTCATATTTATTTCTATAGCGCTTTTTTGTAAATTGTGTCAAAGCAGCTGAACATAGAAGTTCTAATAAACTAAAACTGTGTCAGTCCAATTTTTAGAGTTGAAGTTTAGTTCAGTTAATTTAGCGTGGTTTAATTTTCACTGCTAAAAGTCCCAGAGCAAATCCATCGATGCGCAGCTCCACAGGTCCCAAGCAAGCCAGTGGCGACAGTCTTGAGGAACAAACTTCACCAACTGAATGCTAATATTTTTTTGTTTATCAAAAGAAACATCCTTCATAAATCATAGTCTATAAGATTTTAAGCAAAAAATGCAGTATCAGTGTTTGCCTTAGTAGGGCAGTATAGTGGTGTTACTCCCAATGCCAGCTAAATGTGGTGCGTTACATATTTTCAGTCAGGTGTGTTTCACCATGCACAAATTGCATGCATGTGTAACCAGAAACATGCTATTTTTGAGTTCATATGATGGGGAGCCACAGGGAAAGGAGGACATCTCTTACCAGCATTCCCACATGTGTACGGCTTGTAATTTAGGACTTCAGAAAGTGCAAAAAAGTCTCTAGATAAGCTCTCTTTACAGTTGGGTGTAACATGTTTAGATTATAATGACAGACTCTCTCACATTTCATACTTGCTTTACAATTAAGATGTGTGCATATTTAACTTCTCAGCGCTTGATTTCTCTTTATGTAATTAGCATGTAAAAATGCAGCTCTAATTTGGAACGGCAAAACTCTAATTATATCTGCAATTAGTGGAGTGGACTGTGATTATTTAAGGCACGGTGTCAGTCTTTCTTACCGCATTTCCCCCATTCCTAGAAATATGTGTGATGTTAAACAATATGTGCTAACTAGTCACAGAAAAAGAAGCCTTAAAAGCCAATATAGCCTAAAAAGCATTATATTATATTATATTATATTATATTATGTTATATTATAACCTATTTTCCCTGCTCCATCTGGGGTTGTCGCAGTGTAATGAACAAGTTTATTATAATTTAATTTAATTTAATTTAATTTTATTTAAACCAATTACTTTTCTTTTGTCTTAGTCACTGCTTCATCTGGGGTTGTCGCAGTGTAATAAACCAATTTTATTTATTTATTTTTATTTTTATTTTTTTTCATTCAATTTATTTTGTTTTATTTAATTTAATTTAATTTAATTTTGTTTAATTTAATTTAATTTAATTTAATTTAATTTAATTTAATTTAATTTAATTTTATTTTATTTTATTTTATTTTAACCAATCAATTTTCCTTTGTCTTAGTCCCTGCTTCATCTGGGGTTGTCGCAGTGTATCGAACCTATTTTGTTGTATTTTATTTATTTTATTTTATTATTTTATTTAATTATTTTAATATTTTTTATTTTATTTTTGTATTTTATTTTTGCATTTTATTTTTTACCAATCAACTTACCTTTGTCTTAGTCCTTGCTTCATCTGGGGTTGTTGCCGTGTAATTAACCTATTTTATTTTATTTTATTAATTTATTTTATTTAGTTTTATTTTATTTATTTTTTAATTAATTTACATATTTTTTTTAATTAAATGAAATGTTTTTCCAATTTCAAGTAAATAAAGTGAATGATTTAATTAAATTATTTGCAACATAATTTACATAATATTTTTGCATTATTGTAATGAAAGTTTTGGCTTGGATGTCATTTAATTTGTCATGAAAATGATGTCGCATTGCTTCTTTTGATTTTAATATGACTGTCATTTTAACAGCGTCTGAACATTTTGTTTTCTTTCAGGGTGAAAAAGGAGTTGATGGATTGGCAGGATCAGATGGACAACCAGGAATTCCTGTGAGTTTGTTTGATCATTTTCATGTCTTTATAGTTTTTTGAAAAATAGTTGATGCTTTCAAAATATGGTTGGTTTGACTGATTAGGCTGCAAAAAAGTCTACAGAATGTCAGGATCCAATAAAAAACTAGTATTTTAAAGCATATCATCTGCTTTTTGATGCAAAAGATTGTACACTATCAAAAACCTTTGCCACTGTCAGGTCATCTTTATAACTTTTTTCACCATTAAATCTGGATCTCAGGTTATTAAAACTTTTGATTAAACTTCATAAATCTTCATAAATTACCCATCAACATGATGTTACTGTACGATGTTACTGTTTAGCCAAATATTTATGTTCATTGAATGCCTTTTGCTGTGGAAGCGGCCCTGTCACATGCTTTTCATGGGCTTGTGGTGTGCTGCTAGTTTTGGAAATGATGAAGCCACAGTGTTTACTAATCCCAGAATACATCACTCAGATGTAGAGAAGCAGATGATACAATTTAGAGCATAAATAGTATTGATGTTGACTATGCTCTTCAAAATCATCCTGCTTCATCTTCAGTCATGCACATGTGGACTGCAATACTGAGGAAGGAAGAAAAAGAAACAAAAACAGATGAGCCCCTTTTTTGAAGCATTTTAAAATTACAACATATCAACACAAGAGGGCAGAAAGGACATTTGAATATCTGAGTAATAAAGTTAACAACAAAATTCTACATGGGGCTCAGCATAAATTAATACACCCCTTTTAATTCAGATTTTCTCTAGGATGCTTTAAAATAATGTGTTTGTGCATATACACTGTAAAAAAAACTTTAACTTCAATTCATTTTTTTAAGTTAAACAGATTTAACTTGAAGTTTTAGACAGTTTACTTGATGCAATTAAAAAAATGCTTGTTAAGTTAAATATATTAGTGTATATTAGTGTATATTAGATTAGTCAGTACCAAAGTCAAAACTGAAACTAATCTAATAAAAAAATAAAATAATAATAATAATATATATATATATATATATATATATATATATATATATATATATATATATATATATATATATATATATATATATATATATATTCACTGAGAAATTAATAAAATTGTTTATTTTCAAAAGGGGGTGTTGTAACCAAGTGGCAGGCACTTTTTTCCAGGGGTTTCAGTACAGCGTAACCGCTATTACGTCATCGGGTGGGCGTGGCCTATATGTGAATTTGCATAGGTCACGGATCATGCGCAGATTGTGAAAACAGCCGTTTGATTCAAATACCTGTACGTATTCGCAGGGGTTTTGTGTCCAATGCCTTTTATATGCAGTACTTTAAAATAGCTGTCCTGATCAGGTGTTTCATGTGAAATCAGTGTATGTTATATTAAACAAATTAACTTAAGTTACCTCTCAGATTACATTAATACTGTTATAACTTAAGATACCTGTCCCGATCCCAGGGCTTTTGTGTCAAATACTTTATATATCATAAACAGTAACATCAGATACCTGTCCTGATCCCAGGGGTTTCATGTATGATCACTTTTATATACAGTAACATCAGATACCTGTCCTGATCTCAGGGGTTTCATGTATGATCACTTTTATATTATATACAGTAACATCAGATACCTGTCCTGATCTCAGGGGTTTCATGTATGATCACTTTTATATACAGTAACATCAGATACCTGTCCTGATCTCAGGGGTTTCATGTATGATCACTTTTATATTATATACATTAACATCAGATACCTGTCCTGATCTCAGGGGTTCATGTATGATCACTTTTATATACAGTAACATCAGATACCTGTCCTGATCTCAGGGGTTTCATGTATGATCACTTTTATATATATTAACATCAAATACCTGTCCTGATCTCAGGGGTTTCATGTATGATCACTTTTATATTATATACATTAACATCAGATACCTGTCCTGATCTCAGGGGTTTCATGTATGATCACTTTTATATACAGTAACATCAGATACCTGTCCTGATCTCAGGGGTTTCATGTATGATCACTTTTATATTATATACAGTAACATCAGATACCTGTCCTGATCCCAGGGGTTTCATGTATGATCACTTTTATATACAGTAACATCAGATACCTGTCCTGATCTCAGGGGTTTCATGTATGATCACTTTTATATTATATACATTAACATCAGATACCTGTCCTGATCTCAGGGGTTTCATGTATGATCACTTTTATATTATATACATTAACATCAGATACCTGTCCTGATCCCAGGTGTTTCATGTATGATCACTTTTATATTATATACAGTAACATCAGATACCTGTCCTGATCCCAGGTGTTTCATGTATGATCACTTTTATATTATATACAGTAACATCAGATACCTGTCCTGATCTCAGGGGTTTCATGTATGATCACTTTTATATTATATACATTAACATCAGATACCTGTCCTGATCTCAGGGGTTTCATGTATGATCACTTTTATATTATATACATTAACATCAGATACCTGTCCTGATCCCAGGTGTTTCATGTATGATCACTTTTATATTATATACAGTAACATCAGATACCTGTCCTGATCCCAGGTGTTTCATGTATGATCACTTTTATATTATATACAGTAACATCAGATACCTGTCCTGATCTCAGGGGTTTCATGTATGATCACTTTTATATTATATACATTAACATCAGATACCTGTCCTGATCCCAGGTGTTTCATGTATGATCACTTTTATATTATATACATTAACATCAGATACCTGTCCTGATCCCAGGTGTTTCATGTATGATCACTTTTATATTATATACAGTAACATCAGATACCTCTCCTGATCCCAGGTGTTTCATGTATGATCACTTTTATATACAGTAACATCAGATACCTGTCCTGATCCCAGGTGTTTCATGCATGATCACTTTTATATTATATACAGTAACATCAGATACCTGTCCTGATCCCAGGTGTTTCATGCATGATCACTTTTATATTATATACAGTAACATCAGATACCTGTCCTGATCCCAGGGGTTACATGTATGATCACTTTTATATTAGTTAACATCAGATACCTGTCCTGATCCCAGGTGTTTCATGTATGATCACTTTTATATTAGTTAACATCAGATACCTGTCCTGCTCTCAGTTGTTTTGTGTATGATGACTTTAAATAAAAATAGAAAATAAATATGAGTTATGTTAATTAACTAAGATTGAGAAAGAAAAATTATCCACGGTTTATTACAGAAAAATGTGGTATTTATTTGTTTAAACATGACTGAATACCATATTTTAAACTACAAAAACACGGTTAATCTTACCACAACCATTATTACTTGGTTTACGTTACCATGGAAGTACAAAAGCCCAGAGACAGTAAAACGGAGTAAAACGAGGTCATCTGTTTTTGCTAATGAAATCTTTAAAATATAACATTATAAAAACAAAAAAAAAATAACCTGTATGATTGTTTTTTTCCTTCGTTATCCACCGCGGTAGGTTCTTTATCCATAATCATCCGGTTTGAAATGACCGCGCTAAAAAAGAACATGTACTGCGCATGATCGGTGACCTCTCAGTATTGTTTTTTTCTTTAAGGGGGCGTTTCCCAAACGCCGACCAAGCCACGCCCATTTTACGTCGTGGTAATGAAACCCCTGGAATTTAGTGCATGCCGTAACCAAGTGGCAACCTCCCGTTCTCTCTCGCGAAGCTAATATGGTAATACCTGAAACTGCAATACATTGAAGTTCCACTAGGCCTGGCTCAATAATAGAGCAATTTTCTAATGACCCAACTGTTAGAATGGCCATATTTACAGCAGAAAAAAAGGTGTTTACAGCCTGGTACAAAGAACAATTTTGGTGTATTTAGCTAATATTACCCTTCATGACAACTGTGAGGGGGGTGAATTTATTCAAAACTCGTTTGTTTTGTTCATATTAACTTATATTAAGTCTTCATAATTAAGGGCGTGGCCACTTGAGTGACAGCTAGGTCTCGTTGCTCGCTGTCTCGTCACCTCAGCTGATTCCTGCTTATTAGCTGCTGAACTCAGCATATACATTGTATTTTTGTGTTGTTTTATGTGTGTTTACACAGTCAGTTGCTTTTTGGAATTATTTCTTACAATTATCAGATGATATGGCATGCTGCATGCACTTAATTGTGCTTACAAACCATTCAGGGGGCCTCCATTTCCCACGTGATTGAAATTATATGCTTATATACCACATCTGTAAATGTATTTGCTTTATTTAGGATCATTTATCATTTATATTTTTCTTTAGACCTGTAAAGCACTCCAGAATTTGACAGATTGATTAGCTGTAGAATAAAAACTATTATGTTTTTTAAAAATGTTGAAAAAATTGTAATTGTTAAACAAATATTGGGGAAATATACGGGGGGCTAATAAATCAGATTATTCTGACTTCAACTATACATTTAGGTGATTTATGTACAATATTGACAGTTTTAGCTGTATAGAAAGGAAATAAAAGTGGTAGAAATAAGAAATAAAAACATGAATTTGCATAAAAAGTAAAAAAAATTTAGGCTGCAGAAATCATAAACTCAATACTGTATTTTGAATGATCCTAAAAAAGAAACTGATGTGCTAGCTATTCAAGCTGGATATGGGTTGGATATGCATCTTTTTGATGTCTTAGTGTTTTTGTTGCATGAAGATATGTGGCGTCTGCCTGAGAGAAGAAGTGTGAACAGCTTGCTGCCAGGGTGAATGATGTTACCTGCCCATTGTCTTGTTATGGAAATTTACAAAATTTCTGAATGTGCACACAGCTGTTCTAACATTCTTTGCGACATCATGATGTCATGATGATGATGATGATGATTTTATTTGTCACAACACTGTTAACAGTGCTTCTATAACATCATCATTTTAGATTTATTTATTTGATTTTTATTTTTTTATTTACAATATGTACATCTGCTGCATCGATTAAATCAGCTGGCGTGACATTTGATCAGGCTGTGAAAAAAAAAAAAGATATTATTTTC